ACAACTCTACCTAATACATAGAAACAAACACAGGGAAGCAGCCCAAATGAAGAGTCAAAGAAACATGTCTCAAATGAAAGAAAAAAACAAAACTCCAGGAAAATAACTAAACAAAATGGAGATAAGCAATCAATCAGATGCAGAGTTTACAACACTGGTTATAAGGATGCTCAAGGAACTTAGTGAGAACTTCTAGAAACTTAGTGAGACCTTCAAGGAACTTAAGGAGGCCTCCAAGTAACTTAATGAAAACATCGACAACATAAAAAAAGGACCAGTCAGTCCTGGCCAGTTTGGCTCAGCGGTTAGAGCGTTGGCCTGCGGTCTGGAGAGACCCGGGTTCGGTTCCCGCTAAGGGCACGTTCGGTTGCAGTTTGTCCCCGGCCCTGGTTGGTCGTGCGGGTGGCAGCCACTCGATGTGTCCCTTCATGTCGATGTTTCTCTCTCTCTCTCCCTTCCTCTCTCTCCCTCCCACTCTATCTGAACAAAAAAAAATGGAAAAATATCCTCGGGTGAGGATAAAAAAAAAAAAAAGGACCAGTCAGAAATAAAGGAGGCACTAACTGAAATAAAAATAATTTACACAGAATCAATAGTAGAGTAGGTAAAGCCAAGAACAAACCATTGATTTGGAATATAAGGAAGCATAAAACACCCAATCAGATCAGCAAAAAGAAAAAAGAATCCAAAAATGAGGCTAGTGTAAGGAGCCTCTGGGATAACTTCAAGTGAGCCAACATTCGCATCATGGGGATGCCAGAAGGAGAAGAGGGAGAACCAGAAATTGAAAACTTATTTGAAAAAATAATGACAGAAAACTTCCCTAACTTGGTGAAGGAAACAGACATACAAGTCCATGAAGCACAGAGAGTCCCAAACAAGATGAACCCAAAGAGGTCCATACCAAGACACATCATCATCAAAATGCCAAAGGTTAAAGACAAAGAGAGAGCCCAGCTGGTGTGGCTCAGTGGTTGAGCATCAGCCCAAGCACCAAGAGGTTGCCAGTTCAATTTCTCATTAGGGCACATTCCAGGGTTGTGGAACAAATCCCCAGTAGGGGCCATGCAGGAAGCAGCCAATCAATGTTCTTTCTCATCATTGATTTTATCTCTCTCTCTCTCCTTCCTTCCTCTCTCTCTAAAATTAATAAAGAAAAAAAAAAAGACAAAGAGAGAATCTTAAAAGCAGCATGAGAAAAGCAGTTTGTCACCTACAAAGGAGCTCCCATAAGACTGTCAGCTAATTTCTCAAAAGAAAAATTGCAGGCCAGAAAGAAGTGGCAAGACATATTCAAGATGATGAAAAGCAACAACCTACAACCGAGATTACTCTATCCTGCAAAGTAATCATTTTGAGTTGATGGACATACAAAGTGTTTTCCAGACAAGAAAAAGCTACAGGAGTTCATCACCACCAAACCAGTATTATATGAAATGTTGAAGGATCTTCTTAAAGGAAACAAAGAACAAAAATATGAACAATAAAATGGCAATAAATACATATCTATCAACAATTGAATCTACAAACAAAATGAGTAAGCAGAACAGAAACAGACTCATAGATACAGAGACCTTTTTGTTGCTTGCCAGATGGGAGGGGGCTTTGGAGGATGGGTGAAAAAGATGTGGTTCAGTGTTTGAACATCAACCCATGCACCAAGAGGTCACCGATTTGATTCTAGGTCAGGACACATGCCCAGGTTGTGGGCCCAGTTCCCAGTGGGGCCATGCAGGACGTGGCCAATCGATGTTCTCTCATTAATGTTTCTATCTCTCTCTTTCTCTTCTTTCCTCTCTCTCTAAAAATCAATAAAGAAAAAATATTTTTTTAAAAAACAGAAACAAACTCATTGGTACAGATAACAAACTGATGGTAGCCAGAGAGAAGGGGGTTGGAAGCAAAGGTTGGGCAGATGAAGGGATTAAGAAGCACAGATTGGTTGTTACAGAATAGTCACTGGGATGTAAAGTACAGTAGAGGGAATATAGTCAATAGTATTGAAATAACTGTGTATGGTGCCAGGTGGATACTACATTTATTGGGGCTATCACTTTTAAGGTATATAAATGTCTAATCACTATGCTGTACACCTGAAACTAACATAATATTGAATGTCAACTGTAATTGAAAAAAATTTAAAAAATAAAAAGGTTACTATATGTCAGAGAGCTGAGGTTATAATAATGATGATAATAATAAACACAACAATAATAATAGTGATAGTCACCACCAGTTTCTTACTACATGGTAGTCCTGTACTAGATACTTGAGGAATATTAACTTTTAATCTTTATAGCAAGTCTATGAGATAGATAGTATTATTGGCTCCAGGGAACTGAGGCACAGAGAGGTTAATTAACTTGCCCAAGGTCACACATCTGGTAAGTGATGGAGCCAGAATTCAAATTTAGGCTCCAGGTTCAGGATTCAGGTAAAGAAAGTCATGTGGCCCCTGCCAATTTGGCTCAGCGGTTAGATTATCAGTCTGCGGTCCAGAGAGACCTGGGTTCGGTTCCCGCTAAGGGCGTGTACCTCGGTTGCAGTTTGTCCTCGGCTCTGGTTGAATCGTACGGGTGGCAGCCACTCGATGTGTCCCTTCACGTCGATGTTTCTCTCTCTCTCTCTTCCTCTCTCTCCCTCCCACTCTATCTGAACAAAAAAAAAAAGGAAAAATGTCCTCGGGTGAGGGGAAGGAAGGAAGGAAGGAAGGAAGGAAGGAAGGAAGGAAGGAAGGAAGGAAGGAAGGAAGGAAGGAAGGAAGAAAGAAAGAAAGAAAGAAAGAAAGAAAGAAAGAAAGAAAGAAAGAAAGAAAGAAAGAAAGAAAGAAAGAAAGTGATGTGAGTCATAAAAACACCAAGAGGCACAGCCCTATGGCAAATTTGGAACATCCACAGCAAAAGGGCAGTGAGGTGCCAAGTTGGAAAACTAGGATGCCCAAGTTGGTACCTTCAAGCTGTTCTCACTTTCCAGGGGTGTAGGTGGGTGCAGATGGTTCGAAGTGCCCAGTCGGTAGACCACAAAACAGCCAAAAATAAGCCCTGGGCTGAGGTTTCCCTTGAGAGGAAAGTAACCTTATTTCCTGTGTCCAGATTTCTCCCGAGGGGCTTCTCCCCTCAATTCCCTCCCCTGCACTGTACCTGGACATCCCTGACTTCTCAAAAGTAGTGAAGAGACTTAGCCGGCAAGGGAGAGAAACGTTCACTGTGTCCCTTGTTTGCAACCTCTTGCGTAAGAGCCCAGCCATTTCTGGTTTCAGAATCTCCACTTTTAGCAGAACTGCACAGCCTAGAGAACTATCGATCGATGGAGTGCCCCAGTAATACCAACCCTGTAACCATAGCAGTGGAAAAACCCAGGCTGTGACTCCTGATGCAAATGTGTCAAAAAGGAGACACCTGCTAGATTTTTAGCCAAAGGCTACACTCTCACTAATATGTGTGTTTTTTTCCTCTATTATTACAGATCATGCCACACTCCTCTCTCCAATTCTCTGAATATGAATGAAACTGTGTTCCAATGCATTTGTATTGCTTTTTATAACCTGGCTGCCCATATTTCTTTTGTTTTTCTATAGGGTATTAGTCACTTCTCAATGACTTAACTTCTAAGTTATTTAAATCTCAAGGAAATCAGTCTTGGCTGACAGTGGCTCCTTTTTTAGCTTCTGTTGGCAGAGGCAATCCTTGGCATTCCTTGGCCTGTAGGTGCATCTCAGTGCCTTGCACAGCAGCACATGGCCATCTTCCTCTGTCTCAGTGCATCCCCTCCTTTCTCTATAAAGACACCAGTCATTGGATTTAGGACCCACCTTAATCCATTGTAGCCTGATCTTGGCCTAACTACACCTACAAAGACTCTATTGCTGCCCTGGCAGGTTTGCTCAGTGGTTAGAGCATCAGCCCGCGGACCAGAGAGTCCCGGGTTCCCGCTAAGGGCAGGTATCTTGGTTGCAGTTTGTCTCCAGCCCCGGTTGGGGTCATGTGGGTGGCAACCACTCCATGTGTCTCTCTCACATCAATGTTTCTCTCTCTCTTCCTCCCTCTCTAAATGCAAAAATGTCCTCTGGTGAGGATTAAAAAAAGAAGAAGAAGAAGAAAAAAGACCCTATTGCCAAATGAGGTTCGGGGTAGACATAAATTGGAAGGGGCAGACACTGTTCATGAGCTCACTTATATGTGGAATCTAATGAACACAATTAACTGATAAATAAAATAGAACCAGGGGCATAGAAATATGGAACAGTCTGATGAATCTCAGAGAGAAGAGGGAAGGAGGGGAAGGGAAGAGATTAACCAAAGAACTTATGGAAGATCTGGTTGGGAAGAGACAGCCAATAGGTTGGTAAAGGCCTGGGGGGCAAGGGGATAAAAGGGGGGACACCTATAATACTCTCAACAATAAAGATGGATTCCAAGGGCCAAGGGAAGAGAGAACTGAAGGGCAATGTGGGATGTTTATAAGAGCAGGACAGAAAGGGACCATTCACCTGCTTCTAGACTCTTCCTATTGGGCAAGTGAGCCATGTGGTCCCACCAGGTGTGGCACCACTACGGACCAGGGAGGCTGGGAAAATGGAGAGGAGCACGTGGCTGTTTGGTAAACTCCTCCTCAATCCCCATCATCTGGGTGCTTGCTGTGCTCCAGTGCCCAGCACAGAGTCTGGTCTATAGTAGATGCTCCGGTGGAGGTTTGTTGAATGAATACTGAGAAGGTGAGCATGGAGAGTGGAATGGGAAGACTGAGGGACAAGCAAATCCCTGACCCAAGGGACCTTCAGAAGCTAGAGGGAATTTCCCTGCAATGGAAGAACTCAAGTTCCACCCACTTGCAAGGACATCCCCTCAGTGGGGCGGGGTGAGTCTTTGGCGGGTAGTGGGAGAGACAGCCGAGCGCTCAAGTTCCCTTCCTGAGTGAGCATCCGGCGCTCTTGCGCTGCTCTTCTCGCTAGCACCTCGCACAGGTCATGCAGCGCCGGCTGGCGTAGGATCGTTCGGGGGATGGCGGAGAACGGCTCTGTCTTCGCGGTGCGCCACCGGTCCCGGTGGCTTATTTGGTGCGTTATTTTTCAACTGTTTCTCTTTGGCCTGGAAATATACAACTTCTGCAACCGTCGAACTCTCCAGCCAAGTGAGGTAAGTCGAGAATGAAAGAGACATACATCCAGCACCTGCTGGGGAGTTTGGGGACCTCCTGGTGTCCCTCCCCTCACCCCCGGCCTGTCGGGTGTGGAGCGCAGGTGGGCAACCAGGAAGAGGATCAGAGGCAGAGGGACCATTTGGAGCACAGACTGACAGAAAGACAGATTAACAACAACAAAAACGACAAAAGCAGAAGGATAGCCAGCCAGGAAGAGAGATCTGGTTGGGAAGAGACAGCAAGAGATAGAGCCTGGAGCTGGGGAGTGAGGCTGAGGCAAGGCTGCCCAGTGGTCTGGGCTCGGGGATAGTCCTGTCAGGAGGTAAATCCCGGGTGGGGATCCCAGGGTGGGCGGCTGCATCTGGGAAAGGTGCATGAGACTTGGCATAGACAATGAATGACTGGCTTTGGTGTTCCCCCAGCACGCTGACTCAGAGGCTGCTGGAGGCTTCACAAAGGTGGACGGGAGGGTTGGAGCGGAGGACAGGAGGAACCACACCTGCCCAGGATACTCCCCACACACACACAGGATAGCCTCTGGGGGCTGGGCAGGGGGCTTTGCAGTGAAGAGCGGTAGGTGGCATCCCACCCTTTCTCCAAGTTATGTCCAGGAAACTAAGTTCTTGAAGGTTTTTTCTTTTGCTCCGGGCTGGTTCAAACATACTTCCTCTTTAAGAGGTTGTGTGTGTGTGCATGTATGTGTTTAATTCTCAAGTCAAGCCTTGGGGTAAAGGGTGCATGGCCCAGCAGGCAGTGGAAAGAGTGCTTTGATTACCCTCTTCTCTCTTTTCTTCCAGTGGGACATAGCTGAGCTCCAGCTGAACCACACAGATGAAATGGGTAAGCAGGATAAAGTGTTTGGGGGGCGGGGGACGCCAAGAGAAAGGGAAAGAAAGAAAATAGGGGATTTTAAAAATCCAGTTAGAATAGTTTGGGGCATGAGGGTTTGCTTTTGAATATATCCAGGTTTAGTAAGTAAAGGTTTTCTTTCCTTTTCTTTGATAATTAAGATTATTTGTAGATTTTTTAAAAATTATTCTAAAAACTAGCTTTTTAAAAAATTTGAAGAGTCCTGGCCAGTTTGGCTCAGCAGTTAGAGCATCGGCCTGTGAACCAGAGAGTCCTGGGTTCATTTCCGCTAAGAGCACGTACCTCAGTTGCAGTTCGTCCCCGGCCCCAGTTGGGGTCTTGTGGGTGGCAACCAGTCGATGTGTCTCTCTCACGTAGATGTTTTCTCTCTCTCTCTCTTTCTTCCCCCCTCTCTCCCTCCCACTCTATCTGAAGATAAATGCAAAAAATGTCCTCGGGTGAGAATAAAAAAAAATTTTTAACAAGCTCAAGAAAACATAGCTTCTTCATATTCCTGTTATTTAAACAAGAAAGAAAATCGGGGAGGGAGATATAGAGAAAAGGAAAGAGAGAAGAAGAAAGAGAAATAGTGAAAGAGAGAGAGAGTGAGGGAGATGGGGCAGTGTGCTTCTGAGTGTGTGCTACCTTACTCTTTCCCTCAGTCCTTCACATTTTATTTTCTGCCTTGAGAGAGCCAAAACCAACTAAAGCCCACTAATAGCAATTGTTAACATTCCTTCATCGTTCCACTAACATTGCTTGAGCACCACTGTGAGCCGGGCACTGTTCTGGCAACAGGAAGAGAACAGACAGAAAGCCCTGCCTGAGCACTTTTCTTCTACTGTGGGGACAATAAAGAAAAGAACAAGAAAATTATGTAGCATGCCAAGTAAAGCACATATAGTAGGTTTCAAAGAAAAATTAAGTGTGTATACGTGAAGGATCAGCATGCCAGGGTTGGGTTTGCTGTTGAAAGGGGTATCATCCCTGAGAACGTGAGTCAGAGCAAAGATGTGAGGGAGGTGAAGGAGGTGGGAGTGTAAGTCATTAGGTGGTCCCCTCACACCTGTTCTGTAATCCTATTCCTCTCATCCCCAGAATCTGGGGGCTGTGTTCACTCCATTTTATAGCACAAGAGTCCCTCTTCTTTTTTGTCCAGGCTGTTTGCTATCCCAGCTATTATAAGAGCATACCACACCCTGGACGGCTTACAAAGAACATGTTTTATTCTCTGTGTCCTCCCTCATCGGGTGAACTCTGGGGCCTGTCTATCTAAATTTTATATAATTGACATGTAACATATTAGTTTCAGGTGTATTTGTTGTGGTATGATCATCACAGTAAGTCTAGTTAACATTCATCACCTTACATAGTTGCAAATTGTTTTTCTTGTGATGAGAACTTTTCAGATCTACTCTCTTAGCAACTTTCAAATATACAATACAGTATTATTATATAATAATATGTACATAGTTGTCATGCTGCAGTAATATCCCCAGGACATTTTTATAACTGGAATTTTGTGCCTTTTAACTACCTTCACTTATTTAGCACCCCCACCTCTGGCAACCACGAATCTATGAGTTCACTGGGTTTTTGATTGTTTGTTTTTAGATTCCACAAATAAGTGAGCTTACATGGTACTTGTCTTTTTCTGTCTGACTTATTTTACTTAGCATAAGGCCCTCAAGGTTCATCCATGTTGTCTCAAATGGCAGGATTTTCTTCTTTTTATGGCATAATAATATTCCTTTGTGTGTATATATACACCATGTTTTTATGCATTCATCCAATGACAGACATGGGGTCCCTTTTATAAGGGCACTAACCCCAATCATGAGGGCTCCACTCTCATGACCTAATCACCTCCCTAATGCCCCACCTCCTAAAGCCATCACCTTGAGGATCAGGTTTCAACATAAACATTATGGACATTCAGTCTATGGCCCTCAGTTTCCCTAAACTTCCACCCTTCCACCCTCTCACCCTCTGCCTCCAGGACTACGACAGGACCCCAGGCTGCACTGGCAGGGGCACCCAGCACTAGGTCGCTCTTTCCTGCATGGACCAAAGCTGGACAACGGACAACTGCGGATCCATCGTGATGGTATCTATAGGCTCCACATCCAAGTGACACTAACCAACTGCTCCTCCTTCATGAAGAACACTATGTCCCGCAGGGCCACCGTGGCTGTGGGCATCTGCTCCCCGGCCACCCACAGCATTAGCCTGCTGCGTCTCAACTTCCACCTAAGTTGTATTGTGGCCTCCCAGCGCCTGACACCCTTAGCCCACGGGGACACTCTCTGTGTCAACCTCACTCTGCCACTACTGCCATCCCAAAATGCTGATGAGACTTTCTTTGGGGTTCAGTGGGTGCACCCCTGACTGTTGCACCTCCTGGTCCAGAATTTTGGAGAGAGATTATTCTCTTTTTTCCGTTAAGTTTTGACACTTTAGTTGTTTAATTGTCTAATAAATATGATTTATAATTAAAATATATATTTGGTTGCATAGTCTTTCCTTCCTTAGCATGAACTCTATACTGTAAGGCCTCTTCATTATCATTATGCAAATAGGTGGTGCCCCATCCTTCAGGGGACAAGCCCAGACATATTCCGCTTTCTTTAGATTGAGATGTCATCTGGACTCAGGCTCAAATATAGGCTGAAAAAAAACACAGGAAACATGCACACACACCCAACCCCATTCACACATGCACATATTTATAAGGCCCTGAGCCTGACCAGAGTGACTCAGTTGGTTGAGCATCATCCTGTGCACCGAATGGCTGCTGGTTTGTTTCCTGGTCAGGGTATACAACTGGGTTGTGGGTTTGAGGAGGGTCAGGGTGCATGTGGGGGACAGCAGATTCATATTTCTCACACCAAATTCTCTCTCTCTCTCTCTCTCTCTCTCTCTCTCTCTCTATCCCTTCCTCTCACTAAGCACGTCCTTGGTATGAGGATTTAAAGACGGGGGGGAGCCCTGGCCGGTTTGGCTCAGCGGTTAGAGAGACCCGGGTTCGGTTCCCGCTAAGGGCACGTACTTCGGTTGCAGTTTGTCCCCGGCCCTGGTTGGTCATGCGGGTGGCAGCCACTCGATGTGTCCCTTCACGTCGATGTTTCTCTCTCTCTCCCTCCCACTCTATCTGTACAAAAAATGGAAAAGTATCCTCCGGTGAGGATAAAAATAAATAAATAAATAAATAAAGGTGGGGGGAGGGGGTGGCTGGGAGAGCCCCAGTCATATCTGATGCTTGCCTATGCTCAGTTTTTATTGGGTTATGGGAAGAAACTTGGGAGGGACTTTTTTTTTTTTTTTTTTTTTTTGGTACGTGCCCCTAGCGGGAACTGAACCCAGGACTCTCTGGTCTGCAGGCCAAGCTCCAACTGCTGAGCCAAACCAGCCAGGACAGGAGAGTTGTTTTAAACAAAAGGTTTATTGCAGGAGAACAAGATTGGCAGCTTTCCATTAACTACAGGTGGCAGTTAGTGGTTTTTGTTTTGTTTTTTTCTAAATGAGCTATAAGAGAATGTTTTTCTTCCTGCTATGCAAATTGAAATAAGTAGTATTTTTACATTTCCCCCTTCATATCAAATCAAGAGCTTTCTCGGAAAACACCACTGATCAATGTCTGGTTATTTATTTATCAACTGCTTTTTTTTTTTTTTTTTTTTGGTCTGTATTCCTAAGAGCCAAAAAGGACCTTTCCCAAGAATCATGTCCCACAAGGAGAGGGCAGGGGGTGATTGGAAACCATAGAGGCCACATTTGAACAACAAAGAAGGTAGAAGAAGAGGCTCTCAGGCATTTTCTAGTTTAAGTTTATATTTTGTCTAGGTGTAAGTATTGGAAATCATCTTAATGCACTGGGCTATCTTCACTGTACTTTTGTATCATGTCTTCAGAAACTCAACAGATAACAAGTACAAAATTTAAAAATTATTATGCAAAATAAAATTAAAAGCAATATGACAAATTCAGGTTGCCAACTTAATAAATCAAAGGACTATGGAGAGTCAGATGAAATTTGTTGTAACTGTTCACTGAAAAGCAGAATCAACTAGATATTCCATCACCAAAAAGGATTCATTGAGGGGGTGCAATCTAGTGTGCGCAGACATGGCATGCGCACACTGAACTGGACAAACATAGAAGGTACTTAGAGAAGGGAAAAGGAAGTTCAGGTTACAAACATAGAGCTCTGTTGTCAGCAGAGTTCTTCCTGTAAGATTCTCCCCCTGACATGGAGTGCGAGAACTCCTCCCCTAAACACTAACTCCTCCCACAGATTCTCCTGATTAATGATGGCCAGCTTCAAGTCTCTGTCATAATTTTTATCATAACCAACGGGTTTGTTTTTCAATTTTATGTAGCTGAGTTTCTACTTCCCAAGAGGACTTTATCTAAATGCAACAGGTACAGTTTGTATACACCTTTTTCAGCAAGCAAATAATCAAGAGCTATTCTGCTGTCTAAACACGCTTTGGCTAAGCAGTCAAGAGATTTTTACTGGGCAGCCATTGCATTGGCAGTGGAATCAGCAATGTCTCCTAATGCCAGAGAGAGATTTCTGAGCACATGTTCATTGGCACAAGAGGGTAAATTCCGTTCCCAGAGAGTAGGAGATAGAATCAGGTTTCTTCTGGGAGTTCTCGTTTAAGGTCACAAAGAAGGTTTAGTGGGAAGGACCAATGGGGGGTCTCAGGTCTGTTCGTGAAGAACAAATAAAACATTAAATGCAGAAAGAGCACCTCATCCTTTCAACCTCCAGTTGTCAAAACAATGAGTTGCCCAAGCATAGGGGCCACTAACAAAGCTTTAACATATGAAAGAGTAGCCAGGAGGTGAACATAGGGCTCCATCGTAAGTATTGATATTTATGGACCCATTGGCTGACATAGAGGTTTTGACATCATACAGTGTCAAACACTGTATTATTACATATCAAAAGACTACCTAGATACATGGATCTGACAGCAAGCCTGCAAATGGTCTGTTTCATGTTGGTTGTTCATCCAATATATATATGAGATGGCTCTTGATTTCCCATTCCAGTGTTGGGTTAAATTGAGGCAAGGACAGGGGTATGTGCATTTAGTTTTCTAACCTTATAAGAAGAACCTGCAGAACAGTTTGGGCCTGCAGTGGCATTTGGGATTCTGGCAAAGTCACTTACAGGGCAATCTAAGAAGTCACTGCTGTCATGGATTGAAGGAGGTTTTTGGTGGGCTCAATTAGGTCTACAGGTACGAGTATCTGTTTGCTCAACAGCCTCAGAGTGGTTGGGAGGTCTTCTTTAGATTCCACTTCTGATCACTAAGTAATGTTAGCTTTAAACTGAGCAAAGAGTAATTTTATTTATTTTTTTAATATGTTTATTCAGGAATGGCAGAGGAATTCAGGACAAGCAGACTATGGTGAACCATGGGCAAGTCCAAAGAGACAAAGGGAAGGTCAGTTTTTATTGAGTTTGGGGAGGATATTGGGGAGGGTTGCTCAGAAAAAAAAAAGTCACTGGAGAAGAACAAGAGTTGAGAGGGGCAGCTTTTTGTTGGTTGCAGGTTTATTGTACTGAGGTCTATGGGAATCTTCTTTCTTCCTGCTGACTACGCAAATGTACACCTGTAGGAGCTCCCCCTCCCTGACTTCCCCGACTCCATTTTGGAATCAAGTTTCCTTATTCATTTTGCACATGAAATGTTCACAAGTAAATCAAATATAATTGTTATGACCAAGGGAATTAAATAAAGTGAGATAAAGTTTATGTGACCTTTGAAAAATTATTATGTTTTATAAAATGTCTGCTTTAAAAGAGTTTCAAATTAAAAACAGACCTGCCATATGACCCCGAAATCCCAATTCTAATTTGAAAAAACCTATACACCCCTATGTTCATTAAAGCATTATTTACAATAACCAAGATATGGACAATCTAGATGTTTATCCATAGACAATTGGAAAAAGGAAATGTGGTACATATATATAATGGAATATTAGTCAACCATAAAAAAAAATAAAATCTTACCATTTGCAGCAACAATGATGGATCTGGAAAGTATTATGCTAAATGAAATAAGTCAGACAGAGAAAGACAAAACCATATCATTTCACTTACATGTGGAATCTGAAAAAACATAACAAATAAACAAGCATAACAGAAACAGACCCATAGATACAGAGAACAGACTGCGGATTGCCAGATGGGAAGGGAGTTGGAGGATGAAAAGAAAAAAAAATAACTCCAACAGAAATAATATAAAATATTTTTATTTTTTTTAATCCTCACCTGAGGACATTTTCATTGATTTTCAGAGAGAGGGGAAAGGAGAGAGAGAGAGAGAGAGAGAGAGAGAGAGAGAGAGAGAGAGATCCTTTGCTTCCAGCAACTGCCCCAGCTGGGGCTGGGGATCAACCTCTGATCTTTCAGTGTACAGGAGAACACTCCAACCAGCTGAGCCACACTGGCCATAGCTTAAATAAAATAGTTTTTAAATCCTTTGGTAACTTGAAACATTAAAGTTTTACTAAGTTAAGTTAAATGACAGATATTCATTGACTATCTAGATCATTTCCAAATAAGATAATATACAAGCCCAGCCAGTGTGGTCCACTGGTTGAGCGTCGACCCATGCACCAAGAGGTCGCCAGTTCGATTTTCGGTCAGGGCACAAGCCCAGGTTGTGGGCCCAATCCCCAGTGGGGGGCATGCAGGAGGCAGCCAATCTATGTTCTCTCTTATCCATGTTTCTATGTCCGCCTCTCCCTTGCTCTCTATCTACAATCAATAAAGAAAAAAAACATTTTAAGTTTTAAAAAAGATAATATACTGAAGATAATTGCTAAACATAAGTCTAAGTTTTCCTGCTTTGGGCTTCCTATTTGTACTAAACATTTGGGGTCTGTTGATGTATCTCTTGTACCACACTAAAAAATTGAGGAGTATTTCAATAGAAGAATATTCTGGCCCTGGCCAGTTTGGCTCAGCTGTTAGAGCATCAGCCCTTGGACCAGAGAGTCCCGGGTTCGGTTCCCACTAAGGGCACATACCTCAGTTGCAGTTCATCCTCGGCCCCTGGTTGGGGTTGTGTGGGTGGCAGCCAGTTGATGTGCCTCTCTCACATTAATATTTCTTTCTCTCTTCCTCCCTCTCTCCCTCCCACTCTATCTGAAGATAAACGCAAAACTCTCCTCGAGTGAAGATAAAAAAAAAAAAAAAGAATACTCTGACCAAAGGTCTCCAAGCATCTTAAGAGTTAGGCAAAAAGGTTTTCTTTCATAGAAAGGAATAAACAGGACTTCTGGTCAAGATGGTAGCGTGAGTAAACACGGTATCGCCTCCTCCCACAACCACATCAAAATTACCACTAAACTACAACACAACC